AACGATTTCTTACTGTTCTGGTTGACAGATTACGACCAGGTAACCACTGCCTATTAAGACGGGTGCTTGTTGCAAACGGATTTCGTCTGACCAATCTACCAAGGCTCCTATCTTCACGTTAGGTTGTTACAGATGGTCGACCAGATCGAGGACGGTCCTTAACATTCTTAACATCACTGTGTAATGATAGCCAAGCTGTCTACCTATCGCCTTGTAGGACATACCAGCGGAATTCATGCCAATAATTTGCCATCTCTGCGCCTCTGATATCGTCTTCTTGCCATTCTTACTTAAAATGATTTTGCATTCAGAAATTCGGGACTTAAATACGGATTTGATGCACGAGAAAATAGTGCATATTGGACGTGAAGAAGGGAGCAAGTTGCACGTGGGGAAAAAAACGCGCCTGATTTAAATGTCACACCTTTAAATTATGTTTGAAATTATGAACATTGCTCAACATCATGAAAATTAAACCTTATTTTCAATAAGCAATCCTGAAAAATATTTGGGGGTGCTTAACTTTTTTCCAGGTGTATAGTTGAATTGCTAATTGCACAGTGATAGCATAAACTCAGTACAGATTAGCTATTCTCCATCTATTGCTACTAAGGTGTGTACAAGAATTACTTTTGAATGTGTATATGTATATATAAAACAAACACATTTATATGCAATGGACTCTAGCCTACAAATAAGCAATTTACTGGTCCTGAAAATTCATTATATGAAAAGGTCACAGTATACACTATATCTAAATGACTCAGTAATAAAACTGTACTAAGGAGGATTGGTTTCTGCAAGCCTTCAGGCAAGTTTCAACTCCCTTCCCATCAGTATTAATTAACTCTTACACTACTGAGCTTCTCTGACCTCACAGAATTCTCCAGTGATTTTATTGCATTCTGTTACTACTAATAATGTTGATGTTCTTAACCAGTCTAAGTAGGTTAAGCTTTATTAACATTACAGAAATAAGAAAACATAATATTATTAATAGGGAAAAAACATCTTCAAGTATGCTATATTATTTTTACTTTTAAAAAAATGATGACTTTAATAGATTTTTTTTATCTCAAGAAGTTCTATTAATATCCCTGTATCTATTGTTATCTGGATTTGGAGGTGGGTGATTAGTGGAACTTTCTAGTTGATTATTCTCAAAATACTTGGATGCTTGGAATACAATTATAATTGGAAACACTAATTGTGATTAGTTAATCATTTTCATGACATTAATTGATTTAATTGTAATTTCAATTAACTGATGATTATTTTATGTGACACTAATTGATGATGTTCATAGGTAATTAATTGAGTTATTGATGACATTAATTGATTTAATTGTAATTTCAATTAACTGATGATTATTTTATGTGACACTAATTGATGCTCATAGGTAATTAATTGAGTTATTGATGACATTAATTGATTTAATTGTAATTTCAATTAACTGATGATTATTTTATGTGACACTAATTGATGCTCATAGGTAATTAATTGAGTTATTGATGACATTAATTGATTTAATTGTAATTTCAATTAACTGATGATTATTTTATGTGACACTAATTGATGCTCATAGGTAATTAATTGAGTTATTGCCCACCCCTATCTCAATTACACACTATATCACTTTTTTTATTCTTTGAACACGAACTTCAACCTATATAATTCTAGACAGCATAATAAGACATTATTGCAGAGCTTGTGTTGAATTATCAAACCATTTCCCATTTTTGAATGATAGCAGCATAAATGAGATTTATTATGAAAAAACTATACCTCTTTAAATATTGCTGCAGTAATTGAAGGAAAACAGCCCAGAATCCAAAGTGTACATATATTGCAAATGAATACAAGACATAAGTAATGGGCAAAACACATAAGGAGTGTAGATGTGGAAGTTCTGCCTTGATTTATGTGTATATAGAAGTAGTCATAGTTTAAAACACTGATGAATGATAAAAGTGTTTTTATAATACTTTTAATGACGAAATTGGAGACTCACTGTTGTAACATGAATATGAAAATATTACAAAGAAATTTTCATATATGCTTACAAAATTGATTGTATAAAATGTTGGCATTTTAATAATGTGTTCTCAAATACTATAAAAAGGTGATGCAGTAAAAGCGCCACTGATAATAATAACTTCCAATCTGAATAAGTTATACACACAGAGTGAAACTAAAAATCAACCATGGGAATCTGTAGGGGTGGGTGGGAGGCAAAATGAGAAACGTTAATTATTTCTTTATTCATTCAGCATATGTATATGAATTTACAAGTTTTTTTTATTCACTTCACAATTTCACACTACTTTGCCCCCCCCCCCCCAAAAAATCCCCAACCCCTTCGTGGAAAAATTTCTGTGGATGCCCATAAAATCAACTATACTATTCTTATGTATCTATTTATAAATATAATTATCTACAACCTGATGATGTGTAAAACTTGCTGTAACTTACTTGGCACTGTTCTCTGAGACGTTTTTCTTCTTCGTAAGCCTGAGTCATGAGCAATAAAGGTACTACAGCTGAGAAACATTCTATTACCATCTCCTCATCTTCCTCTAGAAAGCTAAAGGTTTTATTAAAACTAAGACTATAAACCTTTCTCATTACCAGTGATATAATTCAAAGCTGTTTACAACAATAAATAATGTTAATTTCAACCAGGTTATTTAAACTGATATTATGTAAATATTTAAAGAAATTATTTTGCTTTACATACAGGATAAAGAAATAATAAGTTTTCTAAACAATAACTGTAATTTCTTGTAATTTTTTTCTTAACAGCAGTACATACGATTAACAACAAGTTTCCAGGTAATTCTACCTCACAAAGTTTTAAATTTGTGTTTTTGCTCAAAACACTGTATAGGTACAAAGTGTGTGTACAAATAAAATGGAAAATTGCTCAGTGTACTTACACTTCTATAGTTAAATCAAATAGATAACTAATGTCAAAGAAAAGTACACACATTTTTGGATAACATTTGAGATCTTTATGGTTTGGATTATAAACAGCAAACACATATGTCATCAGTCAAAGCAATTTTATTTAACAATTTCTCAGAATATCTGTTATCAGACAAATATTTTCTTTTTGCAATTTAACAGTTCAACAGGACATAAATGTGACATCTAGATTATAAAACATTTTCAAATATCCAGTAGATTAAAACACCTTCACGGAACATCTTAGATTTAAAAAGAGATCATATTCTTTTTATAACCACTTATTCTTAATGAAAGCAAACTTCCTATGAAAAATGTTGCTGCCTACAATGAAATATAAAGCAATACTGATATTTGCATTCTTCTATATCAAAGAACTACATAAACTTAATTCATATCAGGTCTTTTTTTTTTATCATAACAAAATTCACCTACATTAGCCTCAGTTTCTTCTCCGTTGTATGAAAAATCTACTTATATAGGATGTGATGACACATAAAATAAATTTGAGAATTTTTTTTTTAGTAAAGGTATATGCCAATTTAATCCTCCTTGCAGTGGCATAGCTTTGGTTTCAAAATTGGGGAGGACAATTTCTGTAGCTGGGGTATGCATGAGAGTATTCTATCAAAAAATAGTCCTTGAAAAAGTGTGGGAGACATGCCCCCATGTAAGTTACGTCTATGCCTTCTTGCCCAGAGTATGCATGTTTCCAAAATGGCTGCTAATTCCTGATGATCTTATAACATTAACTATACATAAATCACAGTTCAAAATGGAAATCTTTAAATCAGTACCTTTCTTTGTTTACAAGATTAGCTAAGATAATGACTTTGTCACTGTCTTTAGGATGCAAGATGGGTACACACAATAATGTGTCCGGTTGATATCCCAGCAACTTCTGAAGAAAGTCCTGGTGATCCTAGAAAAGTGAACATTACCTTTCTATATTGTGCATAATGCTCTGTATTTGAATAATAAAAATTAACCACTTAAAAAACCTTTACATTTATCCACAATGTTCATAATTCTAGCACATGTTAAAGAAACTAAATTATAAATATTGCAAAAAAGTTTTTCACCTTTATAATATAATTGTATTGAAAATCAGAGTTCAACATTAAAACAATAATTTGTTAAATGAACTTGAATTACCATATATATATACTAACCAATCCTGAAGAATTATTATGTATTGCAGTTCTAATAGTTACCAAGTGTGCTATTTACAAAACTTAATCATACATTCAACTAAATGCTGATACGTATAGTCATTCATTTGAATCGAGATTAATGAAGTGAAAGAAGAAAAGCACAGTAATGCAGACCATAAACTAAAGATGGTTTCAAATGCTATCTACATGGTTATTTTAGTTTTATTTATCTATAAATATTTTCACTATTCAATATTGTGCATAGAAAGACTTATTACAAAAATATTATTGTATAAACTTTCACAGTTCAAATACAACTGTCTATCAAAATGCATTTTAAGTACATAACATCAATGTTAATCTTACTTTAGTACTGAATGAGCAACAAAACTGTATTTATAGTTTTGTAATTACCAAAAAGGATGTATGTTATCATTACCTATGAATATAATTATGAAAACTTAAATCTGCACAAAGAATTACACATGTAGTTTTGAAAAGAAATATTCTTTATGTTGATACAAAGTCAAATGTATTTCTTGCTCAAGTTATGCATATTGTTCTGTGATATTTTTATTTTATCTATTTGTAACATGTATATTCTGACAATGAATCTGTGATTTAGCCAGACAAACTGTGTAATATTTGGTAACAAAGTAAGGTCCTCACATCATCCATAAAAGTTGGAATAAAACATAGAAATATGTAAGTCTTGAACTGAGGAGCCTTTTGCTGTGCCTTTTTCTATGGGTCATAGTGGTTTTATATCTCTCAAAAGTTAAACATTCTTACTCTTCTGATCATGGCTGTCTGGCTAGTAAAAGTCAACTCTGTAACCACTTATCTCAAGCATTAACTCTTTGGCTCACAACAAGTTACCAATGTAAACTGGTTTATTAGGAAGCCATTCTGCATCATGCATTTTCATGCAGCTCCCCTGTTCTTCTTCTTCAATAATCTGCAGCTCTGTTCTTCATTATCATCAATTTCACAGTTCTGCATCACAGCTCAAAGTTCATATTCTTCTCTTCTTCTACATTCTACAGCCTTATCTTCTTCATCATCATCACTATTTTCAATGTACTGCATATCTTTTCATTATCATCTTCATCATTATCCAGTTCATTCCTTTCATTATAAACAGTTTTCAATCAAGCCAAACTAGTTATGCTTTGCCACTCTGCACTAAATTTCTGATGATGCATTGCTTTGTACATGTTTCTCCAGTGTAGATGTTTTTTTTGGTATCAATCTGCAGTCTTCTTACACAAAGAAGTTTGAATGTTGGTACGTTAGCTTTGAGAGGAAAGCTATAGGTATTGTATTACAATAACACAATGACCTTGGGTAATGTTTAGTAAAAAAATTTCTCCATCTCTCTCCTCCAGTTCTTTGCAGTTATTGAGTTTACAAACTCCATATGATTACTCCTATGACACTTTGTATTGTGTAATATTTGCAAGAGGGTTGAGGAAATACTGGATGTGTACCTCCAGGAGATGAAATATTGTAAGTGTTCTGGTTGACTCAGAAATTTATTGATAGAGGAAATTTTATTTGATATGCTTCATTTCTTAACACCATTTAGTATGTATTGATTAAGGTCACATTTAATGTCGTTTATCTGGAACTGAAAAATCCCAAACACTTCCTTAATCACAATAGTCGAGGAGCTATTACCACAGAACTCACTTCTCTCCACCCACAACCTGACAAAAAACACTAAAGTGGCCACATCTTCGCTGAAGGAAAGGTATTATTGTCTTTCTGCTGTAATAAAGCATTTCTCTGTGATTTGCAACAGTTTTTGTCAATGGAAATGACTAAAGAAGAGACTTCATCAAAACTTTATGCAGCAGCAAGATGTATAAGTGGAGTAAGTGCTTGAAATAAAGTTGATGTACATGAGATCACAATGGCATTATTACGGAGGTGAAACTAGGGTTCAAGAGAGGCTATGTTACGGAACCTAGAGATTCATCAAAGAACAAAATTTGGCAAACACCTGCATAAGCAAGGTACCTTCAGGGAAAAAACAGTTGTATAGAAGGTGATTAGAGCAAAAAAAAAGAAACAGTCAGATTACTGGATGTATTAGGACTGGGATTTCTGAAGGATTTCATATACAAGAAACTCCATTAAAAGCAAACACAATAAGATCCACATAGCTGGAGAGATAAAGAACAGTCAGCTGTGAAGCCAGTGACTACCAATTTGCTACAGGTGTGACATTTGACAATAATAAATGAAAGCTGTACAGTGCGAATGGGTCCACACACAAGTGTTTGCAAACAAAAACCTCTGCACTCCTATTTATTTATTTATTTATTAGAGACAAAACTCAAAAATAATAGAAAGAACAGGAATGGACAGTTTTTCTCAGTTACTGAGGAAATATAAAGCAGTGATCTTGAACTTCCTCTCACAAAGAATGACATCAGCACAACTCAACAATGATGATAGTGAGAAGCAGTATGGGTTAAGTGAGCAGGAGAAGAGTATCACTACATTGTATTTTAGTTAGAGAAGAGCTAGAATGTTATATGGATAAGATTCATAGTGAGAAGAATAAGGAACAGCATCACACTGACAGAGCTAAGGCCCAATACAAGAAGGGGAGTAATATTAGAGTACAGTAGTTTGCCCACTCCCCCCCCCCCCCCCCTTTATCTGTCCCTTGATTAATAGAGGGAGCTAAAATTGCCACAGGGCATATACTTCTTTTGCAATCGTCAAATCACATATTTTCCTTTGATTCCTACTCAATCAGGATCATGTTTTAGGTTGATATTATTATTTTTTGATGAATCATATCATGATATGTACAATAATTGCACGATCAGCCTCCCAGTATTTGCATCTTTGAGGCTTACGTTCTACAGACGTAGGTGTAACTATCTTGAAAAATATGGCTTTCTGAGTTTGCTGTATCAATGGCCTTTTGATAGAGCAATCACTTTTTTGGTACCTGTAATACTGGATATACATTGAACCCTTCACACACATCCACAATATCCTTCTCATTGACTCATAATGTGTGTTAGAAAGGAATAAAAACAAATCTGAAGGGAATAGGAAAAATAATGAATAAACAATAAGCACATATTAATTATAAGGAAATGAAATATAGAGAGCAATAATTTTTGTGGTTCTCTTTTCTCCTTGTTTTAATATTTTAACTTTTTGTATTATGCTTTCTTTCTTAATTACTTTTTACTCATACTTTTCAAAACACTCAAACAATATGTGTAACTTACTAAATATACGCATGTTTTTGGTTGGTGTTTTTCTTACCTATTTTTAATTTTTGTTATTAAACTGGCCAATTGTTCTCTTCAGAGAATACTTATATACACAAACTTTTTTCTTTTACTAAGATATGACACCCAAGTGTAAAAATCTCTAAAATTACTGTTACTCACATTTTTTATGTCTTCCAAAACAAGTGATCTCTTCTCAACGATTGCCGTACTAAAACTATTACTTTGAATCTAAAACATATAAAATCATACAAAAATTAATATTTGTTGAAACACAATTGATTTTTGCACTTACTTTTTTTAAAATTATTATATACATATATATATATATATAAACCTATGCATACTTTATTTCACTAAACATACAGTCAATAAAAAGGTAAAAAGAGTAAATATTACAGGAATGCCATCTTTTATTGTGTGAAAAGAAGCTGCACCAGAATACAGCTGTGTTGATAGTTCACACTTTAATTGATTGTCATCCAACTAATAAGAAAGTTTCACACCAGTATAAAGCCTATAAAGGTGTAGGCAGTCATACTATGCCCAGTAGTAGTAGTATCAACCTAGTTATAGCTCCCAGAGACAATATTCCACACAAGTGTGTAGAAATCAACGTTTTAGCTAATGAAGGATACTCCATGTGAGAACTTGTGCCAAGACTCCATGTTTTAGTTGGAGCTGTATGCAAGACCCTAGAGAGCATATATAATACTGGTTTGTTAATAACAGAAGCAGATGAAATAGAAAATCAAAAATCTCTAAATATGATTCTATATATATATATATACATCTCAAGTTATGTTCTCTCAAGATAAATGATAGACAAATATAGATCTTGTTAATAACCTTGCTGAAAATACAAGTTTGAATGTTATCTCAAGAACAGCAAGATACCCATTAGCAAGAAGTTGTCTGAACTGATATGTAGCTGCTCAAAAACTACTGTTGAATAATCAGACCGAAAAGTTGAAATAGGCATTGGACCATAAACATTGTAGAAACAAAGCTGATGATGTGTGCTCCTTACAGATGAATGCAAATTCAAATTTTTTGACAACAATCAACAACAATTTTTGACAGTAGAAAAAAGAATGGCATCAAAGTCAATGGAGAACATCTATAGTGAAGCATGGTGGAGAAGCAGTACAAGTTTTGGGCTGCATCTCAACCGATGGTGTCAGTGATCTATACAAAACTGATAGCACTTCGACAGCTGGCAAGTACAGGAAGATTCTGATACATCATGTCAAATTATACTCATTTGGTAGATATTCATATTCCAACAAGACAATGTTCCTAAGCACTGATAGAGAAAATGAACTAAAAGGATATCTTGATGGAAAAGAGGTTAATGGAACACCAACTTGGCCTGCACAAAGTCTCACTATGAAGTTTGTTTGTTTTGAATTTCGCGCAAAGCTACACGAGGGCTATCTGTGCTAGCCTTTCCTAATTTAGTAGTGTAAGACTAGAGGGGAGGCAGCTAGTCATCACCACCAACCGCCAACTCTTGGGCTACTCTTTTACCAATGAATAGTTGGATTGACCGTCACATTATAACGCCCCCACAGCTGAAAGGGCGAGCATGTTTGGTGTGACGGGGATTCGAACCCGCGACCCTCAGATTGCGATTCGAGTGCCTTAACCACCTGGCCACTCACTATGAACATTCTTGATGCTGTATGGGAAGGTCAAAAAGTGACCAAACAGTTTGACTGAACTGTGTGAAGTAACACAGAATATTTTGAACAATATTCTACACTGGTAAACCATATGGCAGCACAAAACAAGGTGTAATTTCTTGTGCAAAGTAGAGTTCACATACAAAATACTAGTTTGTACAAATTATTTGCTTTTCTTCTCTATTTTCTGTGACAATGTTTTGTGCATCAATAACTTCACCACATAGTTGCCATTATTTGTGTTTTGTGGTTCCTTATGTGTATCTCTTGAGTTTTCCATAAATTATTTTCATTACTGTACATAGTAAACTACTAAAGTCAGGTCATATACTCAACTTTTCTGAAGTTATCCTGCAACATTTCTATCATCTAAAAAGGGATAAAATTACAGTGATTATATCACAAATGAAGCATCTGTTATCATATCATTGTGATAAAATACTGTAATATATTTCATTCTCAAATGTTAGGCTTATCAGTGTTGTCGATAGGCTACTGGTATTTAGTGTTGCATATTTAAATTAAGTGTTCACAGTTTGTTAGATGTAATGGGTGCAATAAGTGGGTTTTATTTGGGAACTCAGGACTGTTATGTACTTTTAATAAAGCTAGCAGTGAAGATGTGCAATTTGCTGGTAGAGTTTGCAGACTGAAGTAGTTAGAGGCTATCATAATTAATGTAGAGGCAATAGATAAATAGAAGGGTAGACTGTGGGAAATAGCAGCACGATTTCAAGAGGAGCTTAAGCTTTTAAATGTAAGGGATTTATCAGCTAAAAATGACTGTCAGGAAGTTAGAAAGAGTACTATTAGGGCTAAAAGTAGTGGATTTAATTGTAATGAACATACTCTATTAAGCAACAGATTTAAGCCCTTGACTTGTGCAGATGAGGAACTACTGGAGGGAAGAAAAACAAAAGGGACAGAAAAGGATGTGAATGATCCACTTAAGGCAGTTATAGTTATAGATAATTCTTTCACAAGGTATGTGGATAAGATAGTATGTGGGGTAAATAGGGAGAAAATAATTAGATTATGCTTCTCAGGTGGAGGATATAATTGACAGAGTAAGAGATATAATAAAAGGGGCTAGCAGTGATGTAGCTTTTGTTGTGCACATAGGGGCTAATGATGTAGGGAAAAGTAGGTCAGAAGAGCTAATTAATAAGTACAAGGATTGATAAAAGCATTTCAAGAAAAGGGCCATAACTTAATTTTGTTAGGGATACTGCCAAGAATTAATTGTGGGGGATGAAATTATAAGTAGGTCACTCGGGCTAAATGCTAAATGTGGGATCAATTTAATGGGAGAAAGGAGCTTTTTGGAAAAGATGGTTTACATTTAAGTAAGATAGGGGCTAGCTTGTTTGCAAGGGCTATTAACTCAGCTGTAAGGGAAGTTCTAAACTAGGACTAGACAGTGGTGAGGAGCAGGTTAAACTAAATGCAAAAAAATAAGATGTAAAAAAAAAATTAGCATAGAAAATTAGTATAGACGTAGTTTTAAGGGTAGGCTTAATTGTTACTATTGTCATGCAAGGAATACAAGAAATAAAACAGATGACCATAGAGCACTGGTAGGAATGGAGGATTCTGATATAATGAGAATAACTGACACAAGGTTAAATGTAGAATATTTAGATGACAAATTTATTTGAAATACAGGGTTATATGTTATTTAATAGGAATACAGTACTAAAGAAAGGGAGAAGAATGGCTTTATATGCAAAATGTGAGTTACATCCTGTTGAAGTTGAGGATATTAAAGATAACAGCAAGGAGACTGAATCCATTTGGGTTTTTATTAGCAAACATAAAGGGAAAAGGCTTTTAGTGAGGATTTGTTACAGACCACCAGATGATACTGATGAAATTAATGAGAAACTTTACAGCAAGATTAAGATTTCAGGTGTTAATAAGTTCATAATTATGGGTGATTTTAATTTCAGGCATATAGATTGGGAAATGTTAGTCAAACCATGAGGGAGAAAGGTTTTTGGTAATTGTTCAAGATGGTTTTAATCATATTTGGTTGGCAAACCTACTAGAAACAATGCTATTTTAGATTTATGTTAACTTCTAATACAGAAATGGTTGAGAGGGTGGAAATTGGGAACATCTGGGTAAAAGTGATCATTGCTCTATTAAGTTTGATGTTTTGCTGCATATGGAGATAAAGAATAATGATATTTTGGTTACAAATTTTAATAAAGCAAATTTTGAAGGGATGCGACAAGAATTGTCTGTTATGAACTGGGCAGCTGAGTTACTTGGAGACTCTGATCAAACAAGGAAAATTTCTAAATATTTAAGATAAACATATTCCTTATAGAAAGAAAATGGTGGCTGCAAGTAAAAAACCAGGTTGGCTCACAAAGGGTATAAGAGATAAAATTAAAGAAAAGCATCACATATTTAAGAAATTTAAATTGATTGGTATGACAGGAGATTTAGAAGATTATAGAATATCAAGAAAGTTGGTCATATTAGGACATAAAAAAGGTTGGTTGAAAATGTAAAAATTAAAAGTAAGAATCTTTTTAAATAGATTAAGGGTAAATAAAATGTTAGGATGGGATAAGACCTTTGGAGGATGATAAAGGAAGGCTCATATCTGATGATTATAAGATGGAAGGGTTGTTAAATTGTTTTATTTTCAGTTTTTACTAATGAAGATTTAAGCAATATTCCACATCTTGAACAATTGATAGATGGCAACAAGATCGAACAAGATGATCACATTAATTCTAAGCATGTTAAAAAAAAATTGGGAAGTTTAAATAACAATAAGCATCCTTGGCCAGATAATATTTCCCCAAGGTTTTTGAAGAAAGTTAAGGATTGAATATGTGAGCCACTTACTACTTTTTTTGTAAGTCCTTAAATAGTGGGTAGGTACCAGAGGATTGTAAGTTAGCTAATGTTACTCCTCTTTTGAAGGAAGGTTATAAAAATTGTCCCAGTAATTATAGGCCTTGGGAAAAGTTTGAAAAAAGATTCTTCGCAAAGTCATTTAACAAAGTTTCGAATTTTTTTTGGATAGTCAACATGGTTTCACTAAGGGAAAATCTTGTCTTATAAATTTTTATACATACTTTAAAGAGACTGCTGCTTATATAGATAAGGGTAAGGGTGTAAATTTGGTGTACCTGGATTTTCAGAAACACTTGACAAGGTGCCACATTAAAGGCTTGAAAAAAATTATCTTTACAG